TGTATGTGTGTATGCATGTCTGTCTGTCTGTCTGTCTGTCTGTCTGTCTGTCTGTCTGTCTGTCTGTCTGTCTGTCTGTCTGTCTGTCTCTCTGTCCGTCGGTCTGTCTGTCTGTCCGTCGGTCTGTCCGTCTGTCTGTCTGCCTGTCCGTCCGTCTGTCTGTCCGTCTCTCTGTCCGTCTCTCTGTCTGTTTGTCTGTCTGTCTTGAGGCACACCTGTGCATGCTGCATGCGCTTCGTGGAGGATTGTATATTTGTCCATTCATGTACAAATTTTGGAATACATAAAAACGTAAACAGTCGTGATGTGAAGATGAAGTGCAAATGTGTTTATGCATTTCGACCCGCATACTTGAGTCGAACTCGGAACGGGTTGACGACTTTGAGAGACCTTTTTTTCGAGTCACCGAGGACCACCTGGATGAGGCCACGGTGCTCAACCTCCACACAAGGTTCCGTCCTATGTTCAGTTAAGAGTCCATCACGCGTGTTGTGCCACACCTAAGGAGCGCGCAGGGCTTGATCGTAAAGCCAGCATCGTAATCACCATCGCGGGCCTTCAAGAATCGATTGGGGTAGGACTGTCTTTAAGCGCACGGGGTCAGTATTGAATTCAGTATTGTCGATAGATCATCGAAGAGCGTTCGTATTTGTTCTTGTTCGTACACGTGTGGTGCCGGCGTCGGCCGTGGCGGCCGTGGCGGTGGCGGTGCAGGGGGCGGTGGCATGAGGACAACGGAGGTCTCCACATTGACAGCATGCATCGACAGCAAAGGAGCATGGATGTAAAAGTCCTCGAATTTTTTTGCCCACGTTGCATAGTGGTTGAGTTGCATCCAGGGGGTCAACAAGAATGCAGAAGGTTGGCCCAGCTAAAGCTGAATTCAACACATGTGATTTCATGTCCAAGCTGCTATTCCCCCGCTCCCTCCCTTATGGAAAAACCCCTCTCTGGGCAATTTGGATGCCACCCAACCATCCCGAGGCCAACTTGCACCAGGGGTGGCTTTGACTCTCATCGTTCCTAGATGTTTAGTTCCACATGAGTTCTGCGAGCACATTGTGTCCAGCGAAGAGGGTCGTTTCGCACCCCGACTCAGCATGCACCAAACGCTTCGAGAATACTCAGCGGGCAAATCTAGATTTAGCTGCGAAAACGACTGAACCCACGGCATTCTGAATCGGAGCTCTGAAATGCATGGCAGGTAAGACCCCCCCAAAATAAATCCAGAGCTGGAGCTCCGACCCCTCAAACCTTCGACACGACACCAACGGAAACACAGAGACATATTCTCTTGGCATGCTTTGGCTTGGTCACAGCAACCTGCGCTCCCCAGCTGCAAAGGTTTCCCAGCATCCGCTGGTGCGTTCCCCTGGGCTTGGGCAGCTGGCTGCGGCAGCGTGGCATCGAAGCGACGGAGCTGGACCGTCCTGCGGAGGGGATGGGAAATTCCGGGTTGGCCTTTGTTATACTGCCTGCCTCCTACCAGCATTCTGGGCGACGAAGCCCTGCTAACACCTTCGCGGTTTGTGCTTATGAAGAGACTATCCCGACTTGAGGAGCTTCTGTTGCTGCACACACAACACACATACATTGACATAGTCTCCAGCTCTGTCCCTTTGTGTCTGTGTTTCTGTTTTTTGTCCCTCTCTCTCTCTCTCGCTCTCCGTCTTTCTTTGCAGCGGATTCTATGTCCCAACCCTGTAAACCCAGGCACCACCAACTAACCCCATAAACCCCAAAATCAATTTCGTCAATGCATTGTGTTCCCCGCCACGGATTTCCAGGCGGAAGACAGCAACTCAATAGCTAAGAGCAGCTTTAGCCTTAAACTCTTACATGTCACTTTTTCAGAACGGACAAGACAATGAGCCAGGGCCGCAAGGTCAGGGCGCGAGGCTGCAAGGGAGCGAGGCCGAGAGGTGAGTCGCCGTGCGACTTCGCGAGGTGAAGGCGCCCACACCTCGAGCGAGGTGAAGGCGAGGTTAGATCGCGAGGTCAGGACACGAAGCCGTGAGGTTGCGAGGTTTGCGGCTTTGCGAGGCGAGGCCGCGAGGCCGAGGTCGCGGCCGTGCTTTTAGCCTTCGCGCTGGTTTTCGGGTGTTGTCTCTGTTGTATCTGGTGAATCTAGTAGTTATGAGTTAACCAGTACCAAGATCCGCATGTGCTTGCAATATAACCCCGGAAGGTCTAGGCGCTGCATGCCATACACTTAGATTCAGACTCCAGACAGCGACGATGAGCAAGCCGCTCGTTTTAGGCTTTTAGAGTTTTTGAGAAGCAGGGAGCAGCCGCTCGAAAGGACTATGTGAGAAACAGGGAGCAAAGCGCCTCGGAGCAAACCAATCGAAAGGGATTGGAATATTGTGAGAAGACGAAAGGGTCATCGCTTGAGAAGCAGGGAGCGCCGCTCGAAAGGGATTAGAGTATATGAGAAAGAGGGAGCAAGCCTCTCGAAATGGACTAGAGCATATGATAAAGAAGGAGCAAACCCAGAGTGTTTCAGAAACAGGGAGCAAGCCGGGCAAAAGGGACCAGAGTCTATGAGAATCAGGGAGCAAAGCGCTCCAAAATCTAGAGTATTTGAAAAACAGCAAGCAAACCGCTCGAAACGGACTACAGTAGTTGAGAAACAAGGAGCACACCGCTCGAAAGGGACAAGAGTGTTTGAGAAGCAAGGAGCAAACCGCTCGACGGGGAGTTGTGCATTTGAGAAACAAGGAGCCAACTGCTCGACAGGGGCCACAGGTATTGTAGAAACAGGCAGTGAACCGCTCGAAAGGGATTGGAGTATTTTGGAAACAGGGAGAGGACTGCTCGCAAGGGACCAGAGTAGAGTAGTTGAGAAACAGGAAGGAATCCGCTTGAAAGGGTTTATGAGTGTTTGAGAAACAAGGGGCAAACCGCTCGAAAGCGATGGGAATGTTTGAGACGGGGGAAACCGCTCGAAAGGGACAAGAGTGAGTGTTTGAGAAACAGTGAGCAAACCGCCTGAGAATCACTGCCGCGAAAAGGACTAGGGTATTTGCGAAATAGGAGCAAATCGTTCGAACGGGACTAGAGTGTTTGAGAAGCAGGGAGAAAACCGTTCGAAAGGCACTAGAGTGTTTGAGAAACAAGGAGCAAGCCGTTCGAAAGGGACTTGTGTATCTGAGAAGCAGGGAGCAAACCGCTCGAAACGGAGTAGAGCAGAGTTTTTGAGAAACCGAGAGCAAACCGCTAGAAAAGCAGTAGAGTATTCAAGAAACAAGGAGCAGACCGTTCGAGAAGGCTTACAGGAGAGAGTATTGCAGAAACAGGGAGCAACGTTTGACGTGTGTGAGAACCAGGGAGCAAAAGGCTCGACACTGACTGCATTTGAGAAACAAGGAGCAAACCGCTCAAAAGGGCATTTGAGAAATAGAGAGCAAGCCGCTCGAAAAGGGACAAGAACCAGGGAGCAAACCGCTCGAAAGGGACTAGAGTATTTGAGAGACAGGAAGCAGACTGCTTGAAAAGGGATTACAGTATTTCAGAAAGCAGGGTCAAACCGCCCGAGAAGTACCAGAGTATTTGGGAAACATGGACCAAACCGCTCCCGAAACACTCGTGCATTCGAGAAACAAGGAGCCAGACGCTCGAAAGGGACTACGAGTATTTGAGAAAAATAAGGAACACACCGCCTGAAATGGACAGCTGTATTTGAGAGATAGGGAGGAAGCAAACTGCTCGGAATGGACTAGAGTGTAGAGAAGAGTATTTGAGAAGCATGGAGCAAACCGCTCGCAAAAGACAAGTGTTGGAGACACCGGGAACAAACCGCTCGAAAGGGAGAAGCAAACAGCAAAACGCTCGAAACGGTTTGCTCGAAAACAACACGGAGCAGCCCGCTCGAAAGGGATTGGAGGGTTTGAAAAACAGGGAGCAAACCGCTCGTAAGGGACTAGAGTGTTTGAGAAGAGGGGGCAAACCGCTCGAAATGGACCAGAGTTTGATAAACAGGAGGCAAGCAGGGAACAAACCGTTCGAAAGGAATTAGAGTATTTGAGAATCCGCTGGAAAGGGACGAGGAATGTTTGAGAAACAGCGAGCAAACCGTTCGGAAACGACTAGAGTATGTGAAAATCAGTCAGCAAATCGCTTGAAAGGGACGAGAGTACTTGAGAAGCAGGAAGCAAACCACTCGAAAGGGACTAGAGTTTTTGAAAGCAAACAGCAGACCACCCGGAAGGGACTGAGACAGGGTGCAAACCGCTCGAAAGGGATTAGTGTATTTGAGGAACAGGGAAATCCTGCCGAAAGGGGGTATAGCACATGACAAACAAGGAACAAACCTCTCGAAAGGGACTAGGGTAGTTTAGGAACAAGGAGCAAACCGCTGTCAAAAGCCAAACGGCACTAGAGTATTTAAGGTCCAGGGAGCAAACCGCTCGAAAGGTGACAAAAGTGTTTTCCCGAATGCGTAGCAGAAGGGTTCTCGTTGTCTGGGGGTTAGGAGTTGATGTGGAATGCGTGCGCAGCCAAGCGTTTGCGAGTGTCCCCACCAGCCCCAGCCCCCAGCCCGCCCCCAGCCCCCAGCCCCCAGCCCCCGCCCACCCCAGCCCCCAGCCAGCCCAGCCCCCCCAACCCCCAGCCCCCAGCCCCCAGCGCCCTGCCCCCAGCCCCCAGCCCCCCCCAAATGCCAACAGCCACGGAGAGGAGGGAGTCCTGGCTGCTGCTATCGGGCGCGCAACTGCCTTCGGGTTCGTGGCTCCTATCAGGTTTTTAAACAAGGGGCAAACCGCTCGAAAAAGATTAGGGGGCGAAAGGGACGAGACTAGTTGAGACACAACAAGCAAACCGCTCGAAAGGGACTAGAGTATGTATTTGAGAAGCAGGGAGCGCACCGCTCTCAAAACACGAGTGTATTTGAGAAACAAGGAGCAAGGTGTTTGAGAAACAAGGAGCAGTATTTAAGTACCAGAGAGCAAACCGCTCACAAAAAACAGTGTGGGAGAAAAATCGAGGAAACCGTTCGGAATGAGCTGGGGTATTTGAGAAGCAAAAAGCCAACCGCTCCAAAAGGATTAGAGTCTTTGAGAAACAGAGAGCAAACCGCTCGAAAGGGATTAGAGTGTTGGAGAAAAAAAGAGAAAAACCGTTAGAAAGGGCGACTGGAGTATTTGAAAAACAGTGAGCAAATCGCTCGAAAGGGATTAGAGTAGTTGAAAAACAGGGAGCAACCCGCGCGAAAAGGGACTAGGGTATATGAGAAGGGGCAAACCGCTCGAAAAGGGACTGGAGTGTTTAAAACAAGGGGCAAACCGCTAAAGAGTGACTGGTGTATTTGAGAAACAGGGAGCAAATAGACTAATTGAGAAGCAAGGATCAAACCGCCAGAGAGAGACGAGAAAGTATTTGAGCAACAAGGAGCAAACCGCTCGA